GATGAAAGTGAGAGTAGCTATACCATGAAAATGTGCTACAACATGAGAGTGTGTTACTTTACTGTTTGCCATACCATATAACATTTTTAAGCTCTGAATACAACACTGGTGTTGGTGGGCCCATGTTTTGTGTTTACTGCCACTGCATGAATCTTGTTCTTGTGTAACATCTTTTTCCGTAGGAGTCTTTTAGGTTTGTGACGCTACCAGCAGCTACAGTACGTGTGAAAGGAAAACACTAGTGATACTGTCGGACACTGTTCTGCTTTTTATACTTAATGCTATTGCTGTGATATATGTAATAGACCTCAGGAGTTCTGGAATTCGGCTGAATCAAACTCTCAGATCCTATCAGACACATAATGTATAAGTTCATTTTGGTTAGAAAAGCTGTTACATACTGTATGAATTGTTCACCTGTATTAACATCTATCTATGTATGTGTACAGTGAGACTTTACTGCTGGGCTCCTCTTTAAGAGCAGGACCTGCACACAGTGCTGCTGATAGAGGTAGCATTAGCACATCCATCCATTATCTATACCGCTTATCCTGAATAGGGTCATGGGGGGCTGGAGCCAATCCCAGCTGAAACTGGGTGAGAGGTGGGGTCCACCCTGGACAGGTCCACCCAGGGCTGACACGTAGACAAACAACCACACACACTCCTACAGGCAATTTAGAGTCACCAGTCAACCTAAGCTGCATGTCTTTGGACTGTGGGAGGAAGCCGGAGCACCCGGCGAGAATCCACACAGGCACAGGGAGAACATGCAGACTCCACACAGAAAGGCCCCGGGTTGGGTGGGGCTTGAACCCGGAACCTTCTTGCTGTGAGGCACCACCATGTTGCCCTCATTAGCACACTTTTTTGAATTTAAAGTTTCAGCCCTGTGTGCAAGTTTGTAAAATCAGAACGTTGGACAGCAGTTTTTCTCATGATGGTCACATTCAGAGTAACCACACACCAACAAACCAGCAACGAAATTTTTTCAGATGCCACAAAAGGTAAATTTATTACGTGTTAAAAATGACACTGTGAGTAAGAATCTGAAGGTTTGAAAAGACTTTGGTCAGCAGGGTTTACAGACATAGTCCATCAGGCTGTCGGTCTTTAGTCTTTTGACCAAAACGTTTATATTTTCACTTATATTTTGTGCTGCAGAAAGAAGGTTCTGGGTTTGAACCTCATGGTTGAATGGGCGTATGGAGTTTGCATGTTCTCCCTGTGCCTGCCTGGATTTCTTCTGGGTCCTCCGGCTCTACAGCATGAGAGGTATAGATAATGGATGGATGAGGTTTTGAATATGTAATATACTGTATTTACCTTTTTGGCAGGTTTGGAAGTTCAGGAATTATATTCAGAAGACAACAACACTCAAAAAACTGTTCTATGTGGAAATAACCTGTGAGCAGATAAAACAACAGGAATTAATACACGCATGTACACTCAGACTTTTCTAAAAGGGCCACATTGTGAGTGGTGAGGGGGGAGTGGAGCTGGAAAATCTGGGTTTAGGAGAAGGGGGAACAGTTCTCTCTCTGTCTCTCCAGTGGTGCGTCTTTGGAAAATGTTGCAATGGCTTTTCCTTTATTCCCCACCTAGAGAAATTTATGACACATTTTAGTCGAATCATTCACCTAAATGCAAACAGAGCTTTGATTGTTACGTGCCCAAAGTTTCAAAGTAAGAAATTCACTATTAACACATGGGTGTTGTGTTCAGCCGTCCATGTACTTTTATACAACATAGACTCTACACATAAAAAAAAGCTTGATCACATGTCACCCTTCTCTTTGGTTCTGTGCTGGTGACGGATCATTTAAACTCTTTTAGAGTCGTGACTCAACAGCACATTAAAACCAGAACAAAACAAAATGTGAGAATCAGATACGAACTCCCTCCCACACTGAGTCTGTCTGATCTTGTCAGGCTACATTTTTCTCTGAAGTGATCTCCACTGGGCTCTGATATCCATTAAACATGCCTGAACAGAAAGCAAACGCCTGCAGTCTTCAGCACCTAGCTGTGACACACACACGCGCATGTACTGTGTATATACACTCTGGTCCTGTCACACGTGTTGTAATTCATGTGCTGCTACATGGGTATTGACACGGTCGGACTGGGCTGGGCAGGGTACACAAAAAAAATCTTTAAAGTTTGACAGTAAAATAGTTCTAAAGAACTTGTTGAAATAGCCAAAGCAGGACAGACATTGAATGGAAAGCTTCTTTTATGTCACTCAAAAACCTGGCCTTAACGGGTTCTCTGTGTCACTGCACCAGTTAAACAAGGTATCCCCCAATGGCCAGGTGGCAGGAGTGAACAAACTGCTGCTGGGTGCACCAGATCAAGAACGGCAACGGTGGAATTCCACCTGACTGGGCTGTTGGATTGGAGTTCAGTAGCATTTGGACCCAGCTTTTCCAGGAGTTTCTTCAGGGCACTGGTTGTCTGTTAAGTGGCAAAAATAACTTGACTATTTGATGTGTGGCATCAACAGCCTTTGCTGCATCAGGTGAGGCTGTTGGTAGTGAAGATCACATGGTCAGCGACTAGTCGACGTCTTGTTAAAAGGCTTGACTCTTATGTAGTGAAGTTGAGTAATCTGCGCGACCCCTAGTAGACAGTGGTTTTGTCAGAGCTTGTTTGCTGGAAACAGCTGCCTGCTGCAGCTGGAAATGCTGAGACTGAACCAGACAGTAAATGTCAAAACCAGAAGAAGATGGGACCTCTGTAGAGCTGAGGGAAACGGAAGAGTTTTCTGTAAGTTTGTCACTGTCATCTTTCAGACTGCACATGGTTAATTGATCTGTTGTTACTATAAAAATACTTAAGCATCTTTAAGAAATCCTTTTTTGCATAGCACACAGCCTCAAAATGCAAGTTGTCAATTAGATAAAAGCAAAAATATGGAATAGCTTTCAAACCTGATAGTTTAACACACAATCAGAATGTGTCATGGCAGACTTTTGAAACAGATAATGCTTCTATCATGACAGTATTCAAGGATGAAACATTCTCTAAGCTCAGAGCCGGAAGGGCAACAAGGAAGGAAGGGCAAATAAAGTAAACACTCTTCAGCACGCCTCAATGACTAACCCACGCCCTGTGTGTGTGTGTCTGTCCTCTGCCACGGTTCTGCACATTTGTATGTATGTGCTTGTAGCTGATAATTATTGTTTTGTTTCTGAGCAGTCACGGATGGAGACAAGGAAAAGAGGATGGGAAATGAGAGGTAGAAGGACAGGTAGAGGACAATGAGGGAGAGACGGAATTGAAATCAATGAGAGAAGGAAGAGAGGATGTATGGAGGCAGATGGAAGGATGGATGAGTTTTTCTAGCAACCAAGTAAAGAAAGAGCGATAAGAAGCAGCTGCTGCTGCTTAAACACACGCAGGAGGATGGAGGGAGCAAGGTCAGCCCCAGCCTGGGTTTCACTCAGACATCACTTTCTGTTCACGCCGGGGCTGTTGGACGAACACACAACCTGGCGTTGTATTTAATGTAACTGGGCCGTGACTCAGCATCGCAGCCTGTGCGCCTACAACAGTGAGTTTTATACCATGGGAGCGAGGGCATTTTGGGAAAGTGTCCTCGCCTGTTTCCTCCCCATGCACCTCTTAGATTTATTCACACAGTGTGAAATAAATCAGTGTGAAGTGACACAGTTCAGACACTTCAATGTGAAATCTGCTGTCACTTTGCTCTGGGGTGAGTGATGTGGATCACATCAAATGTCACTATGTTTTACTCAGTGTGACTAAAATTGGATAGTATTACAACAATTATTAGTTTTGTCTCTGAAATATCTACAAATGAAGGTGGAAAGTGATCAGCAGTTTCTCAGAACTCGTTGTCATCTTCTCTTGTGTGGCCCACAGTCCAAAACCCAAATCCATTCAGTTTACACCTCACATTTGAGTCAATGAAACCAGAATATGTGGCTTTTCTGCTTGAAAAATTTGATTAATGAGCTGTAATCCTTTATTTCATAGTATACTCCACCATTATCAGGCGGTTAAATGCAGAGCTGCAATGACTGACTGGGTAATCGTTTAGTTAACTGACAGAAAATTAATCAGCACCGCTCAGAGTAGTTTTCTGCTTTTAAGAAAGTTGTGAATGTTTTTAAGAAGTGTAGTTAAGTGTGTACGGTTAAATCAGGCATCAGTGAAGATTGCTTTTTCAAGAGTGTGAAAACATACCAGTATAAAGGTGAGGACGAACATAGTTTGAACACACAGTATGCGCACGACTTCGGCAGCTAAGTTACATAATAAAGAAAGATGTAAGTGTGGCATTCAGAATGTCTGAGCACAGTGTAACAGTCCTGCTTGTTTGTCTCATAGACGCTGACATGTTCAGGTTGTTCACTTGGATTTACTACAAAGTCATGTTTTTTTTTGTAGAATAGTTTGAGATCCTGTAAAACATGCGAGCAGCAGTGCGTGTTACATGTCTGTGTGGAGTGTGTGCTGCTGTGTGAGTGACAGAGAGGTCAGCTTTAAAAGGAAGTGTCATGTCCACATACAGACTGGGTGCCACAAAGAAACCATTATGGTTACGGGCTGGTGAGTGTGTGTGTTTGTGTGTGTGTAAAGCCGACAGAGGGCCCAGTGTGCATGTGACACAGCTCTTTTCCTTCGCTTGCTGTTCATGTCAACATTACTGGCTCCTTTCAAATGTTGCAAAGATCTGAAATGTTCAGAAATGTGGCAAAACACAGTTTCCACCAGCTTTAAATGAATCTTTTTGTGCATGTGAGCCCTTTGGGATGACCTGGTTTTCTGCATTAATTGGTCATAAAATGTGATTTGATCTTCATCTAAGTCACATGTATTGACAAACATAATGTGTCTTTTTGTCATCAGCTGCCATTTTATTTTGTGGTGTCAGTGCTCCAAACCGAGTTTTATTTGGAAATTCCAGGAAATATCAGTTTCCTTCCAAAATGAAACTCGTCATCTGAATGTTGTGTTGTTTTATATTCCAGGTGCCACCAAGGAGATTGGTTCAGCGCTAACCAGGATGTGTATGAGACACCGCAGCATCGAGTCCAAACTCAAACTGTTCACCACGTAAGGCATGCACACACAGACACACATCGTTGAACCCAGTGTGTTATTTAATGGAGAGGGAGGACAGGTGAATGTGTGAATGATGGAGCGGTGACACATTCTGTCTGACACAGTGGGAACTAGACACAGTAATTACTCTCAACTGACATATGCTCATGCGGCAGTCTGAACGTGTGTGTGTACGTGTGTGTAAGAGAGAACTGTTGTTGTCCTGATTTCTCCTATCACTGCTACAACATCACAGCTGTTAGTCATTAGAGAAGCTGTCAGTCACGTGAGTCTCTCACACAGTCGTACAGCTGTCTTTGTGAGGACACCTACTGACATAATGCTTTCTCTAGTCCCTTACCGTAACCACCACAACTAAAAACCTAACACCCAACCCTACCCCGGTAGTTTGGAAGCATTACCTTTCTGATAACTGACTGGATATAATGAGTTTAACATGGACTGAGTACAACATTTGTCTGATGACTGTAGGCGTGGTTTGTTTCCTCGTACTCTGTTACAAAGCCGTGTTTGGTGGTGTCGCCATTTTTCCAGATATCAGAAATGAAACTAGTGTGTAAAAAAGCTTCAGCTGTTACATTCACGGATGGTCATAACTATAAAAGAAAACCCAGGTTTAAAGAAATGGAAAAGAAATGTATTTGGGTTTTGGACTGTTGGGAAAAAACAAGAGAATGAATAATAAAATATACATTGATTCAGGAAAATGGGGTTAAACATGATTAAGTAAGACTAAAACCTCTCTTCTCAGAGCTCTGTCAGAAAGTCTCGTCAATCCACTGGAGTTGAAGATGGAGGAGTGGAAAAAGGTGGCCAGTCAGCTGGACAAAGATCACGCCAAAGGTAGACCAAGACGCTAAGACGCACGCACATACCTGCACAGACACAAACTCTCCCTCACTGTCTGTGATCTTGTTTTTTTCCAGAGTATAAGAAAGCACGAGCAGACATCAAGAAGAAATCGTCAGACACCATCAAACTGCAGAAGAAGGTGAAGAAAGGTAAGAGGAACGAACACCTATCAGCTCCATCATCACCTTCATCTCACATCCTGCAGGTTTTTAGCAGCAAGAGAAAAGCACTGCAACATAAAGTTGTCAGTCAGGTTATTTTATCACACAGACAAAAGCAAAAAGAAGGTAAAGGATGGCACATCTGTGGTGAAGCTCCAGAGGAAGAAGCCACCTGCCAAGTATGAAAACCATTTTCCACAGTAAAAATGAGACATGTCTCAGAGAAGTGTTGTCACATCTCTGCTACGTTAACTCACGCTCTGCCTCCTGTCAATCACCTGACACCCTGAGATAAGAAATGAACATGTTCCCTTGCTAAGTTAACTGCCACATCCATGTTTTATAGTCTTTTTTTAAAGCTGGGACAGCAAGTGATATCATTCTGCTTGGTTCTGGCATTTTTGGCAGATCATTTTAGCACATAAGAGATCCAGTGTGTGCGGTGTGAATATGTGACAAAATATGAGCGGTGAATGAGGTTTGTTTGTTTTCATGTGTGTTAAACAAAAGAGAAACAAAAGATTGGTCCTTGTTTCCATCTTATGGAAGTGGTGCAAATGATAAAGACAATCGACAGTGAATGTGTGGGCACTGATTAGGTTTCAGGGTTATGGTCACAGTTAACCCAACTAGACAAATTCAAAACAATGCTTGTATCTCTGTTTCAGCTTGGTCTTTAACCTTTTGATTTGGAATGGCTTGCTATGTTTCCCAAGAGCTCAAACATGCAAAGTTCCTGCTTTCTGTACACATAACAGCCTGCAGCCAGGCAAATGCACATTTGTCAGTGCAGCCCAGCACGGACAGAAATAATTATTAACAAAAATTGACTGGTTGGTCTGTTCCTGACCTGTTTAATTGTTGGTCTTGTTTGGGGACTTGTTAAGGTGCATTCCTGGTACTTTGAGTCCCAGAACATTCCTTGGGGTAAAATCCCTTGAGTGGATTGCGATTTGGATTTCCACAGCAGGGCCGACGCCCCAGGAAGATTAAACAAATCGCCTGCTGATGTAAAAGCACTGTGGTTGGCAGCACGGTTGTAAGAATGCTGCATGTAAAATGTTGCTTGTTATTTGACTAAGAGGCACTTTTCGGTACTGCAGGTCTTGCCATGATAGTTCTTGGACCTTAAGAAAGTAGTACCCCCCCAGCTAGGGACTGTTTTTTGGGGGTATAACTATGTCCTGGCACTGAAAGTCTGGTTCTTCTGGTGGAAGTGCAGGTAGAGGAACTATGTTCTGCAAAATTTTCATGATTCTGGGGTCTAAGGTTAGAGCGGGTTGTATGCTGGACAGGTTGTAAAGCCCCTTGAGGCAAATTTTTGATTTGTGATACTGTGCTACACAAATACAACTTGAGTATCTGAAGAATAGTTGCCAGATTTAGCAGTCATGTCACCAAAGTAGGTCTCTCATGTTATAAAAAAGTGCAGCAGCAGAAACAATCACATTGTGTGCTCTTTTAGTTTTAGAAGTGAAATCTGGAGTAAAGTTGCTGATTTCCAAGTATCTTTTATTTAATGCCTTTGGATCATTATTAATTCAGATTGGTTGAGCAGTTGCACGGTGGTGCCTGGACTGACTCCAGGCCTGTTGGGTGGACTGTTGCCATAGCAACCCAGACCCAACCCCATACTGCCAGGTAGACACCTGGGCCACACCCTTCCCCACTATCAAAGTGACACACCCTGAAGTTGCCATGGTTACACCTGGCCTCACATCTCATAACCAGAGAGACTGAACGCTCTTCGGGAAAGACTGCAGACGGCTTTCCCTTGTAGAAACAGAACAGAAACACCCTAGCACGTGCACAAACACGCATGCATAAACACAAACGCACACATCAGCATCGAAACGAAACCTCGATGCCTTTGATCTGCCCTCCCTCGACAAATCTAGTACGCAAATGGTCAGACACAGAAATAGTTTATACACACACACACACACACACACACACACAGAGCCTCAGCGCAGACCCGCCCATGGTAAACGGAGGGATGTCTGATGTGGGTTTAGCATCTCTGAACATGTTTTTGGCTACGTGCCTTTTTTTTTCTTTCTTCCTTTTTTCACCACTAATCTGTTCATTTGCTTTTCTCTCACGCTTCAGTCAGTCATCGCCAGCTAAAACAAACAGCACAGTTTTAAGCAGTGTAAAAACTTAAAACATTTGATGGACATTTTTGTTTACTACAACTTGGATCTTATTTTTGTAGTTGTGGCCATGTTTTCTAATTGAACACCAGTCATACGTATCCACCCTTAGCTTCTCCCGCTCTTTCTAGATGGAATAAAAACAAGAGCATCCACACGATCGGGGTCAGAGGATCAGTGTGTCAACACTGTCTATAAATGGGGCGGCTGTGGCTCAGGAGTTAGAGCGGGTCGTTTCCTAACCGGAGGATTAGCGGTTCGATTCCCGGCTTGTCCAGTCAACATGTCGAGGTGTCCTTGAGCAAGACACTGAACCCCCAGTTGCTCCCGGTGATGTCACCGGTGTGTGAATGCGTGAGTGCTTGGGAGTGCGAATGGGTGAATGGCCCAATAATGTGTGAAAGCGCTTTGAGTGTGCTGTAAAAGCATAGAAAGTTTTTTCCAGAGTATAAGAAAGCACGAGCAGACATCAAGAAGAAATCGTCAGACACCATCAAACTGCAGAAGAAGGTGAAGAAAGGTAAGAGGAACGAACACCTATCAGCTCCATCATCACCTTCATCTCACATCCTGCAGGTTTTTAGCAGCAAGAGAAAAGCACTGCAACATAAAGTTGTCAGTCAGGTTATTTTATCACACAGACAAAAGCAAAAAGAAGGTAAAGGATGGCACATCTGTGGTGAAGCTCCAGAGGAAGAAGCCACCTGCCAAGTATGAAAACCATTTTCCACAGTAAAAATGAGACATGTCTCAGAGAAGTGTTGTCACATCTCTGCTACGTTAACTCACGCTCTGCCTCCTGTCAATCACCTGACACCCTGAGATAAGAAATGAACATGTTCCCTTGCTAAGTTAACTGCCACATCCATGTTTTATAGTCTTTTTTTAAAGCTGGGACAGCAAGTGATATCATTCTGCTTGGTTCTGGCATTTTTGGCAGATCATTTTAGCACATAAGAGATCCAGTGTGTGCGGTGTGAATATGTGACAAAATATGAGCGGTGAATGAGGTTTGTTTGTTTTCATGTGTGTTAAACAAAAGAGAAACAAAAGATTGGTCCTTGTTTCCATCTTATGGAAGTGGTGCAAATGATAAAGACAATCGACAGTGAATGTGTGGGCACTGATTAGGTTTCAGGGTTATGGTCACAGTTAACCCAACTAGACAAATTCAAAACAATGCTTGTATCTCTGTTTCAGCTTGGTCTTTAACCTTTTGATTTGGAATGGCTTGCTATGTTTCCCAAGAGCTCAAACATGCAAAGTTCCTGCTTTCTGTACACATAACAGCCTGCAGCCAGGCAAATGCACATTTGTCAGTGCAGCCCAGCACGGACAGAAATAATTATTAACAAAAATTGACTGGTTGGTCTGTTCCTGACCTGTTTAATTGTTGGTCTTGTTTGGGGACTTGTTAAGGTGCATTCCTGGTACTTTGAGTCCCAGAACATTCCTTGGGGTAAAATCCCTTGAGTGGATTGCGATTTGGATTTCCACAGCAGGGCCGACGCCCCAGGAAGATTAAACAAATCGCCTGCTGATGTAAAAGCACTGTGGTTGGCAGCACGGTTGTAAGAATGCTGCATGTAAAATGTTGCTTGTTATTTGACTAAGAGGCACTTTTCGGTACTGCAGGTCTTGCCATGATAGTTCTTGGACCTTAAGAAAGTAGTACCCCCCCAGCTAGGGACTGTTTTTTGGGGGTATAACTATGTCCTGGCACTGAAAGTCTGGTTCTTCTGGTGGAAGTGCAGGTAGAGGAACTATGTTCTGCAAAATTTTCATGATTCTGGGGTCTAAGGTTAGAGCGGGTTGTATGCTGGACAGGTTGTAAAGCCCCTTGAGGCAAATTTTTGATTTGTGATACTGTGCTACACAAATACAACTTGAGTATCTGAAGAATAGTTGCCAGATTTAGCAGTCATGTCACCAAAGTAGGTCTCTCATGTTATAAAAAAGTGCAGCAGCAGAAACAATCACATTGTGTGCTCTTTTAGTTTTAGAAGTGAAATCTGGAGTAAAGTTGCTGATTTCCAAGTATCTTTTATTTAATGCCTTTGGATCATTATTAATTCAGATTGGTTGAGCAGTTGCACGGTGGTGCCTGGACTGACTCCAGGCCTGTTGGGTGGACTGTTGCCATAGCAACCCAGACCCAACCCCATACTGCCAGGTAGACACCTGGGCCACACCCTTCCCCACTATCAAAGTGACACACCCTGAAGTTGCCATGGTTACACCTGGCCTCACATCTCATAACCAGAGAGACTGAACGCTCTTCGGGAAAGACTGCAGACGGCTTTCCCTTGTAGAAACAGAACAGAAACACCCTAGCACGTGCACAAACACGCATGCATAAACACAAACGCACACATCAGCATCGAAACGAAACCTCGATGCCTTTGATCTGCCCTCCCTCGACAAATCTAGTACGCAAATGGTCAGACACAGAAATAGTTTATACACACACACACACACACACACACACACAGAGCCTCAGCGCAGACCCGCCCATGGTAAACGGAGGGATGTCTGATGTGGGTTTAGCATCTCTGAACATGTTTTTGGCTACGTGCCTTTTTTTTTTCTTTCTTCCTTTTTTCACCACTAATCTGTTCATTTGCTTTTCTCTCACGCTTCAGTCAGTCATCGCCAGCTAAAACAAACAGCACAGTTTTAAGCAGTGTAAAAACTTAAAACATTTGATGGACATTTTTGTTTACTACAACTTGGATCTTATTTTTGTAGTTGTGGCCATGTTTTCTAATTGAACACCAGTCATACGTATCCACCCTTAGCTTCTCCCGCTCTTTCTAGATGGAATAAAAACAAGAGCATCCACACGATCGGGGTCAGAGGATCAGTGTGTCAACACTGTCTATAAATGGGGCGGCTGTGGCTCAGGAGTTAGAGCGGGTCGTTTCCTAACCGGAGGATTAGCGGTTCGATTCCCGGCTTGTCCAGTCAACATGTCGAGGTGTCCTTGAGCAAGACACTGAACCCCCAGTTGCTCCCGGTGATGTCACCGGTGTGTGAATGCGTGAGTGCTTGGGAGTGCGAATGGGTGAATGGCTGAATAATGTGAAAGCACTTTGAGTGTGTTGTAAAAGCATAGAAAGGCGCTATACAAGTATAAGACCATTTAAGACCAAATGAAGCACTTGACGGCTGAGCTCGTGAAGATGACTGAGGTTGTTTGTGTTTGTGCTCAGGTGTGAGCAGTCAGACAGGTTGGAAAGAATCCAGCAGTGTATTCAGATGAACTAAACTATTTTGTTTGGAGGTCAGCCTGGGAGTGAGCGCACCTGAAGTGAAATAGGGTAGGTCTGAAGCCTGACGTGGGTAATGGATGTTATCTATGCACATTTTGGTCATAATTTTACAGTTTGCCTTTGTTTTTTCTTCTAAGATCAGTCAGTCATCAACTTGGTGGGTATTCTGTTATTAGTACTGATCTTATTGTTCTGTTTCTACTTGTTTTCTGTTCTTGTTTACTCTTCAGGGACTGCAGAGCCACAGCCCCACTTGTTGTCACCATGTAATGACACAGCACACACACACTCACACACTCGTAGGAACACAGTTTTTTCATCCACAGTGTACCAAAACTGTTCCTGTATACTCATCAGTCAGGGCTGCACATTATAATTATACACTGTGTGTGTGTAGGCACCATATAATAAGTAGGGAGACACAGAAGGACTAAAATGCTGTTGTCTGTAAAGAAATCTACTCTTAACAAAAGTGTGTTTATTTTCAGTGTAGGATTTTTAAAAACATTTTGTCGCTACAGTATATTGAATGTTTGCTTTCTGTTCACTCTGCAGCTTTACTTTACACTGTCAGTTTTCAAATAGCCATAGTGCAGACACTATTGTTATATCACAGGTACACCTACATTGCACTATTTTTACAGCTCTATTTTTAACAGGGGTTTATTCTGACGCAGGATTTTTTTCAGGAAAATCTTAGTTCAGTTTTTACTACATGATTCAAATTGTTTTCTGCCTGTTGCTCTTCTCAGTTTGCTTGAGTTCATTCTCCTTTATTTTGAATGTAACATAGTATAAACATATGTAGTATAATAGTGTATTTGAATGAAAAGACAAACTTTGTAACAGTAAACATCTGTTCCCTCACTAATTGTGTGCGTGCTCTGTCATTACCTGGTGTGTAACCACATCAGATGGGGAATCTCCAACTGCAGAGAGGAAGATGATGAGAGGAGGGTCAAAGCAATAGAAAGACAGATGTAAAGGTGCTGCCGGCTACTCATTCCTACATGGATGAAAAACCTACTGTACAAACAGAACCACAAGACTTGTCATGTTTTTGAAATTCATATCTGACTGAATGAGAAGTAACCACTGTTATATAAAAGATGAACGAACCCTCTGTAACGTCACCCACTGGTTTTTTTGATGAGCGGTTTTGAAGCTCAAGTGTGGCCGTTGCCATATTGGTAGCTCTTCACTTCGCCTGCTCTGTCTAATCCAGAAATGGGCAAAGAGGCGACGTGTGAGTGGAGCTTATTAGACAGCTAGCGGCCAGCCATGGTGGGACCCTTCTGCCTGCCACTCAAAGTGGTCGCACCCTTAATTAAATGCATAAATTTTAGCCACTATAATTTAAATGGGTGAGTTATATAAAAATTCACCCCCTGTACAGATGTCATGGGGGGGATATGAGCTATAGAGAGTAAAACAGTTTTTTGTACCACATGTTTATTTCTCCAGTAAAGTTGGGCATTTTATCATGGGAGTCTATGGGGATTGATTGCCTTTTGGAGCCAGCCTTAAGTGGCCGTTTGAGGAACTGCAGGTTTTAGCTTCATCTCTGAGCCTCGGAGGGTGACCGCTTGGGTGTCACACGTTACCCACATTGTTTGATTGGCAGATGATCTCTGTAGCCACATTGATGGGAAAAGATTCCTCTCACAATAACTAGTCCAGTTAGATTACGATTAAGTGACTTAGACTCTGGCTGACATGAAGCATCATGGTTTTTTTTTAAAAAGCTTTTCAGCCACTTTTGTGTTCTTTACCGCCAACCCTTTGAGAAAAATACAAGACACCCTGTTGTTATAACTACATGATCTGTTTCTTCAGGTCCTGGGGTGACAATTAGGGTAGCGTCCATGTTGTGACCTAAAAAGCTAGAGATTCAGTTTGGAAACAAACATCAGCTGCTGCTATTACAGGACATTTCCCAGCTGGTGTTAATTAGCTTCATCTGAACTGTGTTTCACCTTTAGCAGAGTGAATGAGTTGCTTCTGTGCAGGATGGAGCTTCTGGGTTGAGGTCTCTGTGCTTTTGTGGGTGGCGAGCTAGAGCCTTGTCTGACAGCACACAGCCTGTCTGTGTGCTTCCACAGAGGCCAGACATCAGGCAGACTAACATCATGCCGACACTGAGCTTCTGTTAGCAGCATGGAAATTATACCTCCGTTCTCTTTATGCACACACACCTGAGGGAACAGGCTGTGTTTAGGCTGAGCCTTATGACACAAAGTCTGCTGTGTGTGTTTAGCTGTGGAAAGTGCTTCTCACCGTTTTCCACAGGATTTACTGTCTGTGTCTCTGTTTGTCTCTCTCTTGAGGTTTTGGTTTCACCATGTTTGCCTGAAAAATATCAGAGAATTTTCAATGCTGAAATTAAGTTCAGAGATTGGTTCTGGGATGGAAGTGTCAGTGGACAGTTTATATTTCTAAGCAACTGGAGTGATGAGAATAGTGTTAACTTTGTGATGAAAGAGTCCAGGTGTCTTCAGGACTGTCCTCTGGTTGGCTTTGTGGTGGTGGTTTCTAAGAAAGACGGAAGATTTTTGGACTGGTGAACTTGCTTCTAGGGTTTTCTGTGGGCTGATTTCAGGACAGACTCATGCGATGAGGCAGGTCTAGCTCATGTGCCTGTGGTGGAGTGTAGAAAACAATATAGTAAATTACATTAGACACAGAGAGCTCTCATTTCTGTCTCCCCTCTTTCTCAAATTACAGTTCTTTGCCTCTCTGCTTCATGCTTTACTGACATGCAGTTAACCACTTATGAACAATAAGTGGTTAGTCAGATACAGAAATCCTGCATTCTCAGACAGTTTATCACATGTAGGTTGTTGCTGCTTAGGCTCAAAGAGCAGGACAAGGTCAAGCAGCATGTGTGTGACAAGCAGCTGATGCTCAGCACAGTGGGTGTGGGGTGTCAATACATGGCGTGTGCAGTGCTGTGCTGACCCCTGCTGCTAATATCTGGGCATCACAGCCTGAGTCTGGGTATGATCTGGGTTCTGATAATACTAGGACTAAATGTATTTATTTTTTACTCATTTATACAAGGTACTTCACTTGTTTGCCTACACGGTTTGGTTGAAAAAAAAAAATCCAGGTGAACTCTCTTATGTCTGAAGTGTCTTTCACCTGCCTGGAAACAGACCGCCTGCTTTCAAAGATTTATATCTGATCCACACGCAGCAATGTTGTAGTTCCCTGGGGATTCACATCTATAATCAATATTATTGCTGACATGTCATAATTGTCATAATACTTAATGTGTTAATTTGTGACTAGCATGAATTAGGGAGGGGCATTAAAATTATTCTTTGAGGCCGGTTTATCAATTATTCATGATGTTATTGCAGTGATGTCATTGCATTGTTGTTATATCACCAAAACAAACAAAAAAAAAACTATGCGACCAAGCAGTGCTTTTAGGTGCAACTAATCAATGTTGTCATTGCACCGTCTCAACATTTTTGTGGCGATGATGTAAACGATCCCTCATCGTGCTGGAAGAACTGTGAAAAGGTAGTTTCCTCCTGCACAATGAGCGCTCAACTTTGTTATCCGGATGAGTAAAATAATGCCACACTTTGCCGTGTTGTCATAAACATTAGCTCTGCTTCTCTACAACATAACAAAGTAAATGTCTCCAGAAGTTTTTGTTTTCATTATTTGATGACCTTGACCTTTTTAGTAATTGATTGACAAATTTCATATTCAGGCACATCCTTAGTATAACTGTCAGATTTCTAAAAAGTACACAAATACACCTGTACCTACCTGTATTTAATTCTCCCATTATGCACATTTTTACTTTTTATCAAAATAAGCCACAAACAAGAATAATAACATTTTCAAAGAAACAGGTTGATTTAAACAGATTTTCATGTTAAACACTTAATGAATAAATGGTTATTGACTGCAACTGTGGTTTGTGCTGCAAGTGGTATTTATAGAGTTGGTTACCTGGGAAATATCTAGAATGAATGCTGATAAATACTGAGATATTTGGATATAACTAAAGTGTCTCCTTGCGTTTGAGTGCATCTTATTAATTAATTCAACAGATTTGAGGTTTTTTGCAGTCTTGATTGATCGTCTCATCCAAAATGTTTTCTGGTTTGTTCTTTGATGCACATAAAATTACAGCAATAACATTTAACTCTGTCAATTACCATAATAAACAAGTGAGATTCAGACTTTGTAGGGAAGAGTAAGATGTTGTAGATTTTGCCGACTACAGGCCTGCGTGTTGTCGCAGGGACTTGTGTAGGGGACGACCAGAATAGAACTGTGTGTGCATCGTGACTATTCCCTTACTAACATCAGTTCCGCCCGTGTGTGTTTCTGTAGGGAAGGATGAGGTGCGGGGCCAGCTGGACAGCGCACTGCAGGATGTCAACGTGCGGTACGCCGTCCTGGAGGAGACAGAGAAGCGAGCCGTGTGCAGGGCGCTGATAGAGGAAAGAGCACGCTACTGCAGCTTCGTCACCATGCTGAAGCCTGTACTGGTCAGTGCTGTGTGACGATTCAGTTCCATCAGTAAAGAACTGTGGCAGCAACTACACTGATTAATAATGAGTCATTATTAATGTGTGTGTGTGTGTGTGTGTGTGTTTGTAGGACCATGAGATCAACATGCTGGGTGAGGTGACCCACCTGCAGACCATTCTGGAAGACCTCACCAACCTCACTGCTGAGCCCAATAAACTCCCACCAGCCAGCGAGCAGGTACCCTCTTAGTTTTGGTGACCTCTGACCTTTTCTCTAGCACCACCCTCTAGGCATTTATATTATCACAAAATCCTATTAAAAGTAGTGGTGTAGAGATGAAGCTGTGTTAAAAGCATTGAAGCTCTTCAGCCATCTGAAGCAAAGAGCAGTTCATGTGTCAAAGCAACAAGTGACCTCGAAACCACCTAGTGGTCAAAAGAAGTTACCGCGGGAAGTGATATGCTTGGGTTGGACATAGACAACGAAGCTGTGCATCCCAGTGCTGTGTGTGTAGCTCCACATGTAAAAGAGCTGTAGTTCATCTCGACTCAGTCCCACACACCATCCTGCTGCTGGAAATTCTCACTACAGCACCAAATTTGGACTAATCTGCTACTGAAAATAGTCCACAACTAATGCACTGTTTCATCCTGTTCGAGCAGCGTTTTCTAAAATCTACAGCTTGCGAAGGAAGTCACAGACTGTTGTTTCTGGTCTTTTGGTGAGATTTGTTGACAGTAAGAAATATAGAGTACAAAACCAGCTGCATCCTTGAAGCAGCGTGCACAGCAACATGGCCTCACCAGAATTGTTGTTGGTGTGTTTTTATTTCTCAGGTGATTTTGGACCTGAAAGGTTCTGATTTCAGCTACACCTATCAGACACCTCCAGCTTCTCCCAGTAGCACTCTGTCCAGGAAGAGCAGCATCAGCAGGTAACACGCACATGCACACATACACCCTCTGTGTGTTTCTTTACATATCTACTGAAAACGTGCTCTGTGTTGTTACCAAAAACTGGATTTTCCAGTTTATTGCTGTATTCTCTGTTTGGCAAACCACCTCTGTTATTGCTGTCAATTAGGGATGCAGCAAATGTCTTTATTGTGAAATGAAAACCGGTTTCTGATTGATTTGGTGAACCTTGATCAGTTGCTGTTACTGTCAGTCCTTAACAGCAGCGTGTGTGTTTTCGTAGTAACTACCAGTCTGGATCAGTGAGACACGTTCCCTCCTTGGACTCTATCAGCTGTGCTGTCGATGGAGTACACATCCAGGTAATGCACACAAACCTGTCACAGATACAGCGACTGTGTTCACATTTGGTTTACCTGAACTGTCTCATTCTAAACTAGATGAACTTTGTGCTGTGTTAGTTTCAAAAAATGCCTGAGTTCTTTAGATGACCTTGAACTTTTCTGATAATACATCTTTTCATAGTTATGTTACATGTTAAGTGGTTGTTTCAGCAGTAAGGATACACTTGATACACAATATATGGTCAAAAGTATATGGACACCACATACTGCAGCGTAATTTTGGCCTGGGGCTGTTTTTCCTGTGTCGGAGCTCCTAGTTCTAACGAAGGGAACTCTTAAAGCTGCAGTACTGTGATTCATGGCAGCACTCTGGGAGGAGCCATTCTCTGGACCACTGACTGTGAGCTAGGTGCATACGTTTGGCCATGTACTGTACATCAGTATTAGTTTCAAATTTGGTAAAGGTATGGTTTTAAACTTCAGTTCCTCTAATGTGCAGGTTCTGTTGAAAGATGTTTATTGGTACATCTCACTCCCCTCTTTCTGCCAGTCCCCACTAAATGTTGTTAGCATAGAGGATTTACAAAATAAAAGCCTTTCCCTGACAGTAACAGAAGAACACACACACACACACACACACACACACACACACCGTTCTAACCCTCTCCTGTGTGTAGCGCTGCTTCTCCCCCTATCTGCTGATTGGCTGTGATGAAAGTGGGCGCTCCCTCAGTGAGGGGAACTCCCCCTCTCGCCTCGGTCGTCATGGCAGCTGTGGTCGCTACGGTGCTGGCCATGGCCCCCGCCCCGTGCTGAGCCGCCGCGTTAGCCGCAGGGATATGACCACCGTGAGAAAAAAACTACTACTTTCTCCCAACCCGAGCACCGTCCTGTGTTGTCGTCCTCATTGGTTTAAATTTGCCCCATTGCCTTCACATCTCCCACTGTTTCACCATTTTATTCCTCGAGTTTAAACCTTCTGATTCCACTTTTTGTGTCTCCGATTCCATCCACCTCCAGTGTCTCTGACTGGCTATCATGTTCCAATCCAACCGCAGTTTCATCCCATAAAATCTGGATTTCACTTTAAATCATTTAAATTCTCAACCTCATTATTTAAGACTGTGTTTGTGCCAGTGTTAACGTACAAGTGATCAGATCTGTGTCAGTGTTTGAGTGCAATGGTGGGAAAAGAAACTAAATACATATACTCAACACTGTACTTGAGTACAGTTTTGAGGTATTTGTACTTGAGAATTTTTGTTTTCTGCCACTTCCTACTTTGACCTTTCATAAACAGATCTTATACTTTTTATCGATAACAGTTATTTCTCAGAATCAGATCAATAAGACAAAATACAGTATAATCATTAGACTTTATTGATCCCTGGTGGGAAATTCACAAGCTACCGAGCAGTATGTAAAGTACTTCAAATTATAAGGTAGTTACCATCAGCTCCACCTTTACTAGCCACAACATTAAAGTGATGAACACAATAATACATCAGTAATTATAATCCAGTAATATGATGTCCTGTACATCAATGTGAAATGTGCCATTCTGCTTAGTGAGTACGCTAAGGCATTTGTACTTTTAAGGACTTGTAACAAAGTATTTGTTCATACTAATACTGCTACTTTAGTAAAGGACTTGAGTACTTCTTCCACCGCTGCCTGACTGTATGTTTATGATATGTGTCTGTTTTTATGTGTAATGTGTATCTGTGACTCTTCTGATACACTGTGTTTATTTCTCAGTATGTATTTAACTAAAAATAGTAGATTCTTAAGTTTCTGGTATTTGAGTATCACTTAAATCTGTAAAGGTGTTTGTTTCCTGTAAATGACAGCTTGTTTCTTCAGATTGTCATAGATGGTTGATTAATAATGTATTTGTTTTCTAGCTGTTGACAAACATATTTCAGCACTAAAATAACTATTATTTTGTAGGTGTTAAATGGCCACAATATATCAAGCAGCTTGAAGCTTTGCTTCTTTCATTCGCTGCATCTTAATCAAGCTACAGTATCAAAATATTGTACCTCCCTGCTATATGTCCACCTTTACACTGATCAATACCTCGTCACTTCTCTCGCCCTGTGTGCCATGGGGATTTGGTGTAGTGGCTCTTCACATTAGTGTGAATATTGTTCTCTGTGGTGTCGTCAGTGGTCCTGTGATTATGGATTGTGTGTGTGATAGAAATAGGTTTTTGTACTTTAACCTAAAGAGTTGATTTTTCAGAGTTCAAAACAAACTTGAATCCAGTTAAACTAATCATACAATATGAGTCAGTTTTCAAAACCAACATTAATGTGGTGTTGTCAGTTATTTTAAATAATTGGTGAGATATTCTATATTTTCCTTATTGTAGTAAAGTCCATGAAGAGATGAAAACCCATAATGAATGTCACCTACTAAGACGTATTGTGTGTGTATCCACAACCTGATGTATCTTATTCTTCTGTGCTGCGGATCCCCGCTGTTGCCAAAACTACTGAAAACACAGTAATTAACTCACAGTACACCGTCCTCCTGCTGGAAATTATCACTGGACCACTAAATATGTGTTGATGTGTGGCTGAAAATGCACAAATTCTCCCTGTTTATGCTTGTGTGTCTCATTTTAAACATGAAACTGTGTAGTTTTGAGGTGGTTTCAAAGATTTACGTCTTCAGTAGGAAGCAGCCAGGGTGTGGCTGAGTGCCTCAGACAGGAAGTGAAGCCAGAGTGTTGAGAGACAGTCTGACACATGGTTTGATCTTTTATTGGGATTTGTTGACAGTAAAAAAACAAATAGAATAAAGCCTGCTCTATTTAGCCTTTAGAAGCGAGGTAGGTTTTTGAAAATTAAGTTTCATTCTCGATCCAAACTCTTCAGTTGCAGTTTTTCCCGTCATCAGTGGAAAACGGCTCCTACACTTGTTAAATACCTGGTTAGTTTTTCCCACTGAAACTATAAAGCGAGAGTTTAAGTTTCAGTCAATGATGCTAACCAAGGTAGTGGAACCATTTCCATAAAGACACTTCTGGAAAATGAATATGATTTTAATTCCCATTTAAAAGCTTACATTTTTTAACATCACAGTATACAACCATGCTGTATGGGTTAGAGACTGTAGCAGTGAGGAGAAGACAAGAGGCAGAGATGGAGGTAGCAGAGATGAGGATGTTGAGGTTCTCTTTAGGAGGGACCAGGATGGACAGGATTAGGAATGAGCACATCAGAGGGACAGCTCAGGTCGGCTGTTTAGGGGACAAGGTCAGAGAGGCCAGATTGAGATGGTTTGGACATGTGCAGAGGAGGGATAGTGGTTATATTGGTAGAAGGATGTTGGAGATGGAGCTGCCAGGCAAGAGGTCAAGAGGAAGGCCAAAGAGGAGATATATGGATGTGCTAAAAGAGGACATGAAGTTAACTGGGGTGAGAGTAGAGGATGCTGAGGACAGAGTTAGGTGGAAACAGATGATTCGCTGTGGCGACCCCTAATGAGAACAGCCGGAAGGAGAAGAAGAAGTCATTATACAAACTGAACCGTTAACATGTTGTGTTGATGTTCAGAGACCAGCTGCCAATGTAGAAGTGAGCACTGCATGTTTCCTAAGAATAAGGATCTTGTCCTTAGTGGCCTTTAGTATTTAATAGTGTGTAACTGGCCTGGCTGCCTCTTCACCGCTGCTGTTACAGGTGATGTTCAGAAATATTTAAACTGATGTGTGATGTGGGTCTTCTGTGTTGGCTCCATGGGATTATACTCTGTGTACTACTGTACTGATATTGTTGTTTACATTTACAGTATGTGTTCATTGAATTAATGCTGGTTTGTTTATGACAGGATGCAGTCGTCTCAACCAATCAGCTGGCTGCTGGTGGCGGCGGGGCGGAGAACGGCCTGTTGCCACCCCCACACAACGCCTACATGAACCATGGAGAGAGAGCTCGAGCCATGTCTACGTCGGGGAAGGTAACACACACACACACACACATACATTCAGCGGCAATGTTATTATTGTGAGGGCTTAAACTTCAAGAAATGACAAAAAGCATCTTTGAGTCCTATGATTTGTGCCAGGAGAAGAATGTCTGCTTGTTCTTTTTGTTTCAAACCAGACAAAACTATTTTAGGTTCACTAAACACACCTGAAGAACAAGGTCATACAGCAGATTAAAACTCCACATTGGCCACTGGAGGGCAGCAGGAGACCACCTCCATACCATAACCATACCTTCACCTCCTTTTCTCTCCTTGTGTCCTCTCCTAGGTTTTCCTCTCTTCTCTCCTTGTACTTGTTTCTGTATCCTTTTATCTCCTTTCCTTCACCATTTTCCTCATTTCATCTCCTCTTTGTCCCCCAGTCTCCTGTCCTTGTTTTACTTTGCCTCCTTTCCTTTTGTTACCTATCCTTGTTTTCTCGTTCCATCCCTTCTCTCCTTTGTTCCCCCTTCCTTTTCTCTACCCATATACATGGCACATCTCTTCACATTGAATACATCTCAATTACCCTAACATGTTTCCCTTGTAGGAGTGATCATATAATAGACTTGAGACCCACCCCTTGATTCATCTCTCCTTGCATCTTAGTCCCGCCCACATATGATGCAAGGAGAGAGGCATCAAGAGGTGTCTGAAGTATCTTATATGATCATTCCTATATCCTCAGTCAACCTGGAACTCTTTCCAGTTGAGTGAGGAGTGATCACAAAACAGAATTGGGATGTAACCTTTTGCTCCCTGTTCCTTTCTCTCATTTCATTTTCTCTCATTCTCTTCTTCATTCTTCTATTTCTTTCTGTAAAAATCATCCCTGTGATTTGAAAAATTTGTTTACTGGTAAACTTCATAACCTCACCTTTCACTTTCTCTCTTCCGCTTAGTCTTGCTCGGGCCGGGATCAGTTGGCACTGACACTGGGTGCGCTGAATGCGGACGCCCCAAGGAGCAGCAGGGACTCTCTGCACTGTTCCAGTGGCTACAGCACACAGACCACCACCCCGTCCTGCTCTGAGGACACCATACACACACACAGTGAGTATAGTGAACACACACAGAGCACGAAACACTTGTGGACTAAATGTCCCTCATTGTGTTTTACAAGTAGATTTTCATTCAAAGTTCATGTCTTCATATATCTTAAAGGTGCATTGACTAAGATTTTCCAAACTGTCTATTAAACCCAGTGACAGTGAGACAGGATGTGGTGTCCCTCAGCTATACCCCCCCCTCCATGACCCTCTGCTGCCTACAGCCCTTCTGTTGTTGTTCTGACAATTTACTCCTTCAGCTCACGCTGTCTTTGGACTGGAGGCCACATTTTGTACTGTTTGTTGCAACCAGGCATCCGTAGGTTACTACTGGGAAACAGGATGTGATGGACGGGGCAAAGAGCTGTTGGGACCGACTTATGGTGTCAGTTTGTTCTGAGTCTCACTAGACCCTCTAGGCTGAAAGGGGATCAGGTAGAGTAGCTTGAAAGATGTTGGTGTTTCGAGGAAAAAAAAAAGGAAACTGAATGTGCTGTTTGACTTAAAGGAATAATCTGTGATCTAAATTCAAAGAGGCAGGTCTGGAAAATGAGATTTGAATGTTTTGTAATGACAAGAATGAAGACACTCGGAGCTCTTGCTGTGCCGTGTAAACAAGTCAGCCGTCCTCTGTTGTGTACATGTCCTGTTTTTGTTGGGATGAAACTGAGTGTCATCTAAGTTACTCACCAGTTTCTTCTGTATTTCTCTGGTGTGTGTCAGTAGTTTTGTGTTTTCTTGGTTAAACGTCCTTCCTTCTCTTCCAGCTATAAAGAGAGATCCTCCCCTCTCTGGTAGGTCTCTGACTGCCTGTCTGATTATCTGCCTGTGCCTGTCCTCTTGCGTGTTCATCCCAAAGCTAGGGTCAGGGTTCGACTGCATGTCATCACATCTGCACCTTTCTATTAGATCGGTTCAGATTGAGCTCCACAACTAATTCAAGTCGTTCAGTAGAGATCGTTATCGCTACAATTTTGAGTAACGGCCTGATGAGAAAGGATTTATTCATCTATTTAGGATCTCCCAATCAGAGCCTCGGTTAAATGTGGGAATCTGCTGAGTTTGATTAGATACTTATCTTTAATCTTTGTTGATTAAAAATGTATGTGCACACAGAAATAATAGCTGTAGACTAAGTCAGACATGCTTTGAATTCATGAGCTGCTTTATCCAAATACTGGAGACTCTGTTTCCTAAAACTAGAGGCTGCTACCTGGATGTTTTGTAAATCTACTGTTGGTGGATAAAATGTCCTCACAAGTTCCCCGAGTCCAGGGTAATGTCTCTTATTTCGTCTTAACAGGAAAAATATTTCACTTAGAATTATATGAAAGTCATTTATGTTCATTCATTAATGACACCAGAGTAATCAATAATTTATTTAGAGAGGCAGATCAAGGAATTTGTTTAGGAACTAAAACATGTTGGAACTAAAAATCATTTACATGCAAGTTGTACAGTTGCACGTCATTTCCATGAAGTGACTTGTGCGTCTGTTTTTGATTTAATTATTCAGGACAACATGGTGTGTGTGGCTGAAAAGCAACTGGGCTGCATGTTCCCTGTTTTTATTTTTATTTTTTTTTATTAGCACAAAGTTTCCATGACGATGCATCCCCTAATTGTTCCTTCCTATATACGCACAGTGAGTCACTGATGTAATTATGTGCTCCTGCTGCTTCTGTCTGATGATGAAAACACTATCAAATATCAAAGATATTCCAGAGATATGAGTCCAGCTGAAAGCAGAGCGACAACTAACGCTCTCTCTCTTTCTCTAGTCGACTATGAGTGCCTCTCTTTCCACGGCGACGCAGACTCTATCTCCTTACATCACCTCTCCCATGGCAACAGCCAGTCAGACTTCGACAAGTCCTCCACCATCCCGAGGAATTCCGACCTCAGTTTACAGTACAGGAAGTTCGCTCAATCCAAGCGCCCCGCCTCCACTGTCAGCCTATTGGCCGAGCCTGAATTTGTGGGCGGGTCCATTCGACAACTGCCATCCCACACAGCGACCATCAGGCGCAAACCATCATCCAAACCAGGTTATCGCCGGGGCACTATCACTGGGGGGGTTCCCATCCCTATCTGCACCCCGCAGGTTCCCCTCAAAGCCTTCGGAGGAAACGGCGAGAGCGATGAGAATGTTTTCACAGCGCCCTCTGCTGGAGGAGCAGGAGGTTTAAGTTACAGTAAACTCTGCAGCTCCACACACAGCCTGGGCGCCCTACCCCTCCCCTCCCCCTCATCCTCCCCATACTACCAGCTGGTCCCAGGTCAGAATCCCATTCCAGTGCCTGTACCCACTGTACCCTTCCTGCCAACAGAGAGCAGCAGCAACCAGCAGCAACTACAGCAACAGCAGCAAATCAACCAACAATTAAACGATCAGCTACAGCAGCACAACCAGCAACTCCGGCATCAATATTATCCTCAGCAACAGTTTCAACATCAACCATCACTGTATCAGCAACCCCAGCAGCTGCAGCATTACCATGATCAGTATCAGCAGCAAGAGCACGATCAACAGCAGCTGAACCAGCAGCAGAAACAGAATCTGTTCCAGCAGCACCACCAGCCCTCTAGTCTGGGCCACAGTGCCCACTACGAGCCCCAGCCGCCTCCACCCTCCAGCCAGGACCAGGAGCAGCTGCCACCAGAGGGAAGAGGCGAGGGAGACATGCTGACCCTCATCAGAGGAGTGAGGCTCAAAAGGACCATTACCAACGATCGCTCCGCCCCTCTCCTGCCCTCTCCAACCAGTCACAAATGAGGATGAACAACACGTTGAGCTGCTGCCCTGCTGGTCAACTTTTAATTTAATGGCACAAAAGCTGCACCTGAGTGTGTCGGCACAGAGCAGAATCAAACACGTGGACTTCCTGTTAAATGCAGATTGTGGACTTTACGAACAGAGGTTCATCGCTGGAACTTGACGTGTGCGTCATTTTATTTTCTAAGCATTCTGCTCCTCTTAGGCTCTTTAGATTTCTCAGTTTTAAACTTTTTTGAAACTTAGTCATCATTTCTGTTGACATGGCAACAGAAATGATGACCATCTTTTTGCCTATGTTTTGTTCATGTTTGCATTTTGATAAAGTTTCTGTTTGACCCAGTCTTACCCACAGAACTGTTAACTGTTTTTCCTAGTCAGGTGCTACTTTTGTTGTCATTAATTAGCCGGACTGCACGTGTCTCAGATCCTCAGCCTTGTGTGGGTTTGAGTTGCCTTTTGCTTAAGACTCCCACGTGGGTGGGGTTTATTAATGGTCCAATGGCTCCACTGTGTCACCTGGTTGAACCACGGTGTGTGGAGGTTTTATTTTGCTGGCTGTGGGTAAGTGCTGCTTCAGTCCTGGGGAGCTAGAAGAGTCAAAACACCAACCCTGATGCACATGAATAAATTTGTTGACCGGGTCTCTAGATTGTAAATATGTTAGAACAAGAAAAAAAAGAAAACAGCACTTCAGAAAAGCACATTTGATGATTCACAATTTGATTCCCTTACCTGCAAGTGGCAACAATTTCTACCCCCGGGATCCCAAATGGTGACACCGTTTGGGGAAAAGCATTTAAAACGTAACTGTGGGTAAATGTCTGATTTACTGTGTTAACAAAACAACTTGGTTGAAATGAGAGGAAAGAAGAAGACAGTGACTTGTTTGTAAGTTTTAGAGGCAGCACCGACTTAGAAGCAGATCAGCAACCGTGGATTACACGGTCGCTGATCAGCACCACGATGCTGGACTAACACATTGACTCGACTCCTCTGCTACCTCAGAAAATTAACACGAGATTTGATTTATATTAATATTAGAGAACAATATCAGCAGGTATTGGCTTTTTTTTTTTTACATAGTTCATTTGAAGAGGAACCCTGACAATGTGGTTAATAAAGCGCTGTGACTAAATATGTGCTGTGAGGACAGATTTCTGATTTACCATATCCAGACGCTTTGGCATCTTCTTTTTACTTGTTGGCAGACATACAAATTGGTACGGATACATACCACAGTATCTCTAAAACTGGATTTGGAATAATACTAATAATCATTACATCAGTTTTTTTGTCAATTTATGACAAAGTCGCTTTATATGATACGACAGCAACTGTTTTAAGTCACAAAGAGGAAAAATGACGACAATAAAACAGACAATATTTTCTTATTGTACTTTAAGACATGTCAGTACAGAAAACCTTTTTAATTAATGTCGAAACCTCTATTCAATAGTTTTCCCATCTGAGCCCACAAACTTATTTTATACTGTAAAATGTCCAGTTCAGGACATATAACAATTCTTTTATGGCTCTTCATGAAAATATTTGTTTTTATGTTAAAGATTTATATCACATTTTTTACAATCAAACTATCAGCGTCACTCAGGCACAGCCGATACGTTGGCACAGAAACATAAATGTTATGCTAAAGTTTATCATTGTGATTTAACACGAGGTGAGCTGGTGCCTCTGGTGTTTATTTTACAGCTGAAACTTTTCATTGTTGATTAATCTGATTGTTTGGTCTTTTAAATATTAAAAAGTCATGAAAACATCCATCTCATGTTCCTAAATCCTTAGTTTGTATGAAACCAAAAGCTATTGAATTTACTGCGGAGTCACACCATGAAAAGCTAGAACCAGTTAATGTTTGGCTTTGAACCATTTACTAATTAATTTAACAGTAGACCAACTAATTGTTTCAGCTCACATTGTTTTACCAGATGAAAGTGACTTTCACACAACAGTTCTTATATTTTCTGCAGGCAGACAGAGGACGAGCTTTTGAATCGGTTGTTAATCCTCTAACGTGGCAGAGTTTCCACTTGCAGGTCTCTGCTTCGTCTATAAAAGGTACAAATCAGTCACTTTCACCGTTTTAAAAAGTGTCGTTAAAAGAACTTCAGTGTCTTTCTGCGTCTACACACAGAGGATCTAACGTGGTTAATAAAGACACTGCCAGAATTTAGTTGTTTGTTTCCGCTCCCATCACTCAAATTCTGTTCAGTGAGTGTTTATCTGAATTACACTGAACCATATTTATCTACAGTTGGTCGGGCTCCAGTAGCTGGTTCTGATTGGGGTCCTGTTCCAACGGTAAAATATTTAGATATGGTAGACTGTAATGACGTCACACTACTGTGGACATAAAAACAAACCACCGATCCCAAATGTGAACAAAAGCTGAATAATCAAGGCAGCGGTAACTGTTGACTCGACAGCGACGTGTTGCCTCCAAAGGTCGTCTGTTGAGTGTCACCTTAATGTTTTTGGAGAGTTTAATCGTGAAAAAGAAAAATTTACTAGTGCTGCAGCTAATGATTATATAATCCATTAAACAGCTGGTCTGTAAAATACCAAATATGTTAATGTTTGAAAAGCTAAAAAAAGTCAATTTTGGCTTCTTTTTCCTTAAAAATGGCTTTAGATTGATGAATTATCCAAATGGTTGCTGATTAATTCCCTGATGTTTCGATCAACTGATTTCATTGTTTCAGCTCTACCTTTTTCATTCCAAACACTTTCCCCATGTGGGTTTTTACGTTCTTTTTCCATCTGTTTTAATCTTAGTTTGACTTTTTAGGCAGAAAACTAAAGTAAAATGTATTTTCCACTAGAATCTAACACATGAAGTAGAGGTGACTACAATAAAAAAGTTATTTATAGAAAAACTGCAGCTGTTAAATGGGGATATCAAATTGTGACTTGTTACTTAAATACCCAACAAATGAAAGAGTTTGGTTTGTGGCTCTGCTGTGGGAATTCATGCTCAGGACCTCAGTGTTTCTCTAATCCTGACTTTGGCCCTGCTGGTATTTGCCTTGTGGAGACGCGCTGCATGCTGGGAAATGCAGTCCAGTCTCTGGCCAGTTGATCCTGCTCTGTTCTCTGAGAAACTTTGTTGTGTATTTTTGCAGCTGAAGAGTTTATATTAATGATGAGATGAAAACTGAGCTTCTGATATTCATTTGATTGGACCCAATAAGCCCTACAACTGTGTGTGTATATATTAGTGCTTTCATTCCTGAGAGAGAGAGATCTAAATCTATATGTATACATATCTGAATTGTATTTTTGTTGATTTATTGATCAGAATATGTGAAGCTTTAAAGGAGGAAACCCAGTGAACATCCTGTGTTTGAGGATCTGAACCCTGATTGGATGTCTGGCTGTTGAGAAGTGAGCGAGGACTAAACAGACGACATGAACCAACAATGTAGTTTTGTTCTTCATCTTTTGATGTTCACTGTGGGATCAATAATAATAATGATTGATTCATCACGTGTAGCGTGTTCTTTTTTTGTGTCTTTTCTGCCACTACACAGCTGAA